GTCTGTCTATCTGTCTGTCTATCTGTCTGTCTATCTGTCTATCTATCTATCTATCTATCTATCTATCTATCTATCTATCTATCTATCTATCTATCTGTCTGTCTATGAGATTACTTAGATACAATTTCATCCTTCAAGTAGTTGAAAAAGTAGACAGATATCATTAGAATATTAGGAGGAATTTTCTGAGAGAAAGAGCAGTTCAACAATGGAGTAGGCAGAGAAGTATTTAAGCAATGCCTGGACAGCATCAAGCATGAATGCTTTAATTTGGATTCCTGCATGGAGCAGAAGGTTGGGATCAGTGGTCTACACTGCTCTCCCAATGCCTTGATTATGTGAGCAGACATGTAGAATTGGCTGTTTAATTCAATGTACCTAACTTTATACATATGATAGAATATCACTCTAACAGTAACATATCTCTTGGCTCACTGTCCCAAAAAGTTTGTTTTCAAAGTTCTTCTGCCTCCCCATCCTCTTCCTTTCAGAAGTGCATAGCCCCAGCCCAACCTAGCAGTTTTTGCCTATGCTATTTTCTACTTGCCTCCTAATTTCAAGTTCTTGTCGCTTCTGCCAATGGTTACCTAAACTTCCTTCTTCAGACTGTTGCCTACTTTATCCCATTTCCATTAGCGTAAGGCACCTTTCTCTTGATCTGTCAGCATTCTTCCTTTCCTATCACGTGGTCTCTCATTTTAAGCATTATACAACTGTTTTCAATCCCCACCTCAGCTAACCTGCTCCCTTGGTTTTTTTTCAGTCCTTTTCACCTATACTTTTCTTGCTTTCCTTCAGTTTGTCTATTCTGATCTTTATTTCAGTCTCTACGCTTCTGAGTCATGTAATTTCCCTGTACGACATTCGAATTCCAGCCAAACTGACAACTTTCCATTCCTTATTGAAGGCTGTTTAACTGACAAAGAAATGAACTTCCTATGTTACTACAGCATGTCCTCCAATCAGTGTTGGAGTCTGTGTTGCCCAAAGTACAGATATTAATACATTTATATAAATGCAATCCTCTGTGGTGCTTACAGCAGCAATATAAATGGATAAAAAGAACTGATGATGCTGTAGTCAAACTTTTTAAAGTTTAAAGTTGTTTAAAGTTTAATTACTTCAACTAGCTATTATATATCTTGATACACTTGATTTAAATTGAATGATACTAATACGTAGTTGTGTACTGCTGAGAACTACAAAGCATGATTTAAAATGGTTTTTTATAAAAAAAAAAAGTATAATTTTTCTTAACTTGTTCAATAGGTACTGAGCAGCCGAAATAGCTTACCAACGCCGCAGTTAAGGCGAAGTTTAGGAACCTCAAGTTTGCTGCCCATTGATCCAGCTTCTAGATGGGAACGCAATAATGGCAAAAGGTCACACCATGAGTATAATCTTTCAAGGTTAGCATCTTACCAATATAGAATACATACCGTTTTTCACCTACAGTAGAAAATATTCAGACAAATGTATTGAATTGAATCAATGTATGGTTCTCAAATGCTATAACAATAGTGTAAAAATATATGTAATTAAATGAATTACTTCATTCAAGATGTTTAAAAAAGCTACTTTAGTTAGTAATTAATGGCAATCACTAATTCTGAACATCAAGAATTAGGAAATGAAATTGCAATTAAAGATAAGTCATTTTCTGTATAATAATTATTTATTGGATATTGAAATAAAAATAGGAGTCTAGCACCACTTGAAGCATTTAGTCAGTTAGGGTTAGGGGAAATAATAATTTTTCCTTAAGCTTAAGAATCATATGTTTTCTTGTTGATTTTTAACTGCACCAGTATATTTAAATCTTCAGTTTGCACACTAGTAGTTCTTTTGTGTAAACTGAAAAATAGCTAAAAGTCAGTGAAAAAGAATGTTAGAAATGCAGCTTGTGGTACATTGGTCTGGACATTGTGATGGAGAGGTCTCCTCTTGGGCAAGGTAAGAAGTGTAGCAAAGGTTTAAAAGAGAGAAAACATACATAAAAGCAACAGAGAATAATCAATATAAAAGCCATAAGAGTCTAATTAATCTGTCAGTCATGAAAGAGCTAGAGGATAATATGGAAGCCATAGCGCACAGACAAGAGAAAGTCTATCTACAAATTTTCCACAAATATATTTTCATAGCTATTGAATGATACTATTAACTGATTCAAACAAACATGTTTCAGATTTCACTAACCACCATTATAATAAACCTGTTTATTATAAAATGTTCCCAATTTTTTATCATCTCTTTTTTTTAAAATGTGCATTCAGTAATAAACTCCAAATGTTTTACACTCCTCCCTGTTGGAAAGGCCACTAGCTGAATTTATTTGGCAGAGAACTATTGGGGATAACATTTTTTTTTTTCCCCTTGGGAAACAGGATGCTGGGAGATAGTCACTTTGGGCAAATTTTAGGAGGAAATTAATGCTGTCTTTGAGAAACATAACTATTTTAAACTACTTTTTAATGTAGTGATATAGATATAGATAACTATTTTAAACTACTTTTTGTGTGATATAGATACAGACATTAAATAAGTTATAACTTTTTTTCCAAGTAGACAAATAAATCAAAGGACTAACAGGGAGATCTAATTACAATTATACAATTTTATGCAAGATCTAGAAATATAGAAAATATATTGAAAGTTGTCTTCTCTATCTAGACAATAAAACGTCAGGCTTTAAAAGTCTTCTGAGTTCTAAGCATACCTAAATGTTTTATACGTACTTTAAAGATTTCAAACAGCAGATGGCATAGTTTTACAACATAGCTGCTATTTTCTAGTTCATTTTTAAAAGAGAGAAGTGTAGAACATAAATGTTCCCTTAACTCTTAAGTATTCCTTTCAAATAGCATACCAAGATAGATTTGATAAAAATACATGCTCAGTATGCATTAGGATTAAATTGGCACTTCCATGTGTCAGCTTAATCCTAATATATAGGGTTACACATTAGTGTTATAAGAAATAGAATGCATTAATTTAAGGGCATAGAATTGCACAATGGACAAGTTAATAAATAAAAGAGTATAATGGTAAAGCACTCCAGGAATATGTTACCATACATTCCATTTCCTAATTAAATAGCATTGTCTGGAGAACAGTATTTGAAGATTGGACTATTCTTTTTTGGTAGGAAGCAACCTGTTTAAATATATTAATACAATACATATCCCAGAAATGAACTGTTAGCAATTCAGGATTTTCTAAATCGCTGGCATATATTTCTCAGAAAAAATTAGCCACAGCTAAAAACTTTTTCTCTAAGAGTTAAGACAACAGGAACAGAAATGCTATTTCTATCAATTTTTCTTCAGTCATTATTCACCAAAAAATACTGCGTTGTTAATAGGCAGCAGCAAAAAATAAATCAATATTATGCCATGTCATAACCATTACTTTCAATCAATTATATTATAACTTTCTTAAATCATCAATAAAGGTAGTCCCCAGTTTAAGAATGAGTTCCGTTCCTAAGTTCTGTCCTTAAGTCAAATTTGTATGTAAGCCAGAACAGTATTCTGTATAAGTAGTATTGTGTAATTAACTCAAACCATTGTATATTTAACTCAAATCATTGTGTATTTAACTCAAATTTTGCTGCAGTGGGCTCTCTTCTTAACTACAGGTTGTCTGTAAACTAGGTGTTCTTAACCTGGGGACTACCTGTAAATGTTCTATGATTGTACTGATAAGGAAAAAAAGATGTGTTATTTGAACTAACCTTTTTAGGCAGGTGTTCTCTCCTTCTGAACAATGAACTTAGAATTAAGAAAAGGCCTATACAAGTAGTCCTCGTTTAGTGACTGCCTCATTTAGCAACCATTCACAGTTATGACAATGATGAAAAAGTAACTTTATGACCAATCCTTGCATTTACAACCTTCACAGATCTGTAAAGCAAGGGAAAGCTGAAGTAAGATAATAAGCACAGTCACGGTTTCATTTAGCAACTGCTTCGCTTAACAGCTGAGTTACTGGTCCCAGTTGTGGCCACTAAATGAGGACTACCTGTAACTGTTTGAGGTGATGGTCCTCTATCTCTTTTAAATTATGTTGTGCTTTGTAAATTTTATATTCACTTTGTAGATAAGGCATTGCAATATCAAAAAAGAAAAAAATGTGTCACAGACTGAATCAGAGACTGAAAGAGTGCGACCAAGTGCACCCCTGCTTTTAAATTCCCTCAGTAGGGCTTGTGTCTTCAGCATTCAAAATTATGTGGTTGCTTTTTATTGGATATTGATAATAATGCATAGTTGCTAGGGAGCATGAAAAGTATGTTTTCTTGTGCCTTTGTCCTATGTTTGGGCTTCCCACAACAGATTGCCGGAGTAATTAGGCCTGTAGTCTGATACAGCACAACTCTTTATTATGTTTCTAAAATATGTTACATTTCTATGCTATTCTATGGCACCTAGCTGCAATTCTGTTTGTTTAATCTTTATTATATCTGTGAATATATCAATTATGTACAGTATCTGTGTCTGAAGTTCTTTATGCATAAGGTGCACTTATAATTATTACAACTGCTGTGTTGCTCTGATGGTTTATATGAAATGGTAGTAATAAGGAGGAAAAATGACTGGACCTAAAAGATTATACCTGTACCCTGTTATCATGGGAATATTTCAGATTATCATACTCTCTCCTGACAATTTAAGTGTTGCTATCTGGATGAATCCTTAGTGGAACTTCTCCATCCAAGTTCATCAAAGGATTAAAGGTATAACTTGATGGGACTCAACCTGAAAGTTGACCACATGCCTGGACCGCTGCATTTTAAATGGTGTGTTAATTGGAGATCACCCAGCTGAACTGAGAATGGAGAGGAGGTCAATTGGTGACTACTGGATCACCTCACCAAAATTTCTACCGTATCTTTTAAAGTTAGAGGTGGTGCCACATCTAGAAAGTTACCACCATCCCCTTGTATTAATTACAATAATATATAGTAGGTTAATGGAAACAAAGGCAAGATATACCCAGAATTTGGGAGTCATTAACACTAACACGTGACCTAGGTGGGATGAAAAAAAATGCTAATTCTATAACTCAAATGGCTCAAAAGTCACAAATGTTTTAGAAATTACTGAGGTTTAATTGCCTATGGCCCACAGGACTGCCCCTTAGACTTGTAAAATAATAGGCAAATTCTAATCAATCTTTCTTTCAGAGAAGAGGAAGTATCCCCTTTATCTGAATAACAAAGATCAACAATGGTTTGACTGAGAATGCCAGCCAATAAAAGGGACATTTAAGGCTGCCTGTGTTGTTTACAAACTTTATTCTTCTGAGACCCATTATCAGCTTCTGTCTGGCCTCCAATCACTATATAAATGTATCCTTAGAGAGAAGAAGTAGAGAGCTATAATAGATCCATGGCCTCAACTCATCCTTTTAGTCAGGCAAAATCATTCCTTTCTCTTTTGAGAGAACCTGGCCAATGCGATCCTTCTTCAAGGTGGGAGAGCTTTCTATACTGACCTAATTACAATAGTGAAAATGTATATCATGATTTCAGCACTCTGGATAGCTGGTTACTATACTCTGGATAGTAGTTACTTAGCAGAAGTAGTCTAACTAGAGTCACTTAAGACTGGGAAGATGCCAGGTAATGATCTTGTCTTACATGAAATAATTAAACTGAATTATAACTGGTAGGCCTCCTTGTTGACATCTCTGTTTATATTTATTTGTCAAACAGGGCAGATTCCTAAGACTGGGGGGTAGCCATAATAATCTGTGTTTATAAGAAAGATAATAAGGAAGACTTACCTAATCATAGACCTATCAGTCTACTAAGTGTCATAAGCAAATTATATTCAAAGCATCCGAATAATAAACTCCAGGCTAGGATGGAATCTGAATAAATTTTACAAGATGAATAAGTCAGCTTTAGAGAAGGTCGGTCTACATCTTTTTTTTATTGTACCATCTTATTTGGAAGTATGTACAACTTTATATGTGGCAACTTTATATGTGGCTTTTGACTAGAAAAATACTGTATGATAAACTCAGGAACACCAGCATGGATAGGCATTTTCTTTATCTGGTTGAAAACCTCTACGCCAACTCTCTAAGAGTTAGATATAATAATCCAGGGTTGGATGTAATAACCAAGGGTGCTTTCAGATGTAATATACATACAAAGCAGTATGTATTTTGTATGTATTTTGGCCCTTGCCTTTTTAATCTGTTTGTCATGTCCTCGAATTAGCAGGCCATAAGATCCTGATACTGATTTATGCAGTCCTTATCTCCCACTCTCCTATAGGGCTGAGAAAGGCAACGAACTCTATAGTCCAGTATTGCAAAAGGAATAAACTGATACTTACTTTCAAAAACCTAAATTCATGGTATTTGTTAAAAGGGCCAAAATACAAAGATGGAACATAGAGAGCAGCCCAGCTGAACAGGTTTACACTTTTAAATATCTAGGAGTGGTTTTCCATCCCATGGGAATTTGGAGACTCACTATGATTATGTCTCCCAACTGGCAACAAGATTTACAAATTCTTCCAAGGCAAAACTTTGGCCCAAGTATTGTTTGGAGGCCTGGTGGAACTTTATGTTGGGAAGAATGCTCTTGAAGTGGTTCAAACCAAATTTCTGAAGCCTATATTTGCTGCACCCAGAGGTGCAGCTAATGGCCATACCAGGTTAGAAGCAGGGATGCCTTAAATTGAGGTCAGGGCTTGGAGGCTGATGTTAAATTATTAGCTCAAGCTTCAGTTCTTCCTCTATTTCCTTTCTTCCTTCCCTTATTTATTTAAAAGATGTGTAGGGCCGCCCATCTTAAAACACAGCTCTGGGCGGCTCACAACAACAGTAAAACCCCAAATTATTAAAACCGTAAAACACAACCAAAACCTGGTGCCTCAGTCATCCCCTTGGAATGCTCCAACAACCAACCCACAGTATCCTCACACTACCCCAGCAACTTTTCATCAAGCTGGAACAATGCCATAGAGCAAATGCTGTAGGTTATCAGCAAGGTTCATACGATCCCTGGGATATACTCATGCCAAACATACACTTCTGCAGAGACTTAAATGATATCAAATTCCAGTTGGAAGTATCAACTTGGCACAGGGAAGCAGGACCTGGGTGACAAAAGACTTTTGGGAAGCAGCCAGTTATCTTTCCTTATATACATTTCCCAAGTTAAGGAATACTTTTTTCTGGGCTAGGCATAATATTTTGCCTTTGGCACTATTACAGGGAAGAAAAGATATTCTGAGACCCCTTACTGGAAACGTGTGCAGAACTGGGTATATTGAAACAGTTCAACATGTCTTATTTTACATCTTTGGGGACACGCACAAACTTTATCTTACCCCTGTTTCATCAGTACCCTGGAAGAACAGATATATGAGCTTCACTTTTATATGAGCTTCTCTTTTTTCAGACTGCAAATCCTCTATAGCCCAAATTATAGCAAGATACCATGTAACAGCAGTGAAAGTGAGGTACCAACTAATGTAAGATCTCCCATAGTCACAACTTAGTTTGTTGGTTAACCAGCCTAATGTCATCCAGTGTTTTGTTTTGTTTTGTTGTTCTTATTACTGCTTTTACTATTTTACTACTGTTCATTTTATTTTACTATTTTTACTAATATTTGATATTCCTGACCTTTGGCTGTAATGATTGATTGATGGCTTACATTTAATTACAATTTTAAAATGTACTTTCCTGTATTTTAGTTGAGTAAAATAAGAGAAGAAAAATTATTTTTTTCTTGTTTTTCAATTAGCCAAGGATCTTATCCAAATGGGCCTATTGTCAGCACAAACCTGTTGACAATACCGAAGCAAAGATCATCTTCAGTGACCTCAGCAAACAGTGCAGGTTCTAGACGAGCTGGTAAGAGCGTAACAATTATTTGTAAGTTGCCTATAGGAGTCCATGGAATGATACAATTTCTTTTGAAAACAATACATGTATACATCCTAAAATTTTATATTGCTTAGATTATTTTAATGCCTTTGAACTGTGGTGCTGGAGAAGACTCTTGAGAGTCCCCTGGACTGCTAGGAG